AGAATTGGTTGTATCACGACGTGCTTGTCAAGATTTTCAACCATGATGCCGAGGTGGGACAGTATGCAAAGTGGATCCTGAAGCACTACCGGCCCAAGATCACGCCAACTCCAAAGACACAGGCTCCGGATTTGGCCGCGTTTCTCAAAAAGATGCGGGTGGATGCATTTTTGGGAGCTACGACAACGTACCGCTGGGAGTTGATGACTGTGGACTTTGACAAGAAGCCCTGAATCTGTTCAAGTTGTTTGCATGCCTGGACTATGCATGGATGTTGCAGCGATGACTGCACTGGACAATGTATCTTTCTTCAGATGCATGTCAGTCTGGATCTGTGGATTTCTGGTTTGCTGGAACGTTTTTCTGTCACAAGGATATACAGTGCAATTGGAGACGATATATATAATTTATCGCAATCAATGCACGAGGCACTGTCTTTGTCAAGGTTTTGGGATCTCACTGCACCTGGAACTGGATGGACTGGCAATCTGATCTGAATTTAACTACAGTACTCATACGTATTCTGATGCGATGGTCTGGACAGTACCCTTTGAGGCAATTCTTCTGGACAAGCTCATACATATTGCATGGACACTGTGCTTTCGACGTCACAGCAAGAGGGGGTATGAAAGTGTATGGATACACCCGGTGTGCTGTGACTGTGTTTGGACTGGGTAATGCATGTCGAATTTCAACTCTGGAATTTACAGGCAAATAGCTGGCTGATGTGTTCAGTTTCAATTTCGCCAAGTCTCGCCCACGGACGAGGTATAACTCGTGGTTTTTGGTGTTTCTGGAAAGTGTTTCAATGATGTTTGAGGACGCTTTTGTGGAGAACAACGTTTAGGAGAAACGTGTTTTTTGCGTTGATGGTGAGAATGTGGTTTTTGGAGAAGATTTGGAATTTGTTTCGCCTCGCATGATGTTTATGCTCGACAACAACAACTTCCAAACTACACTTTGTTTTTCAAACGGTTTTGGCACGTTTATTTTTTGGACTGGCATTTGTGTGGAAGACTGGATGTTGCACTTGCAATATATGTAAGTGGAAGATGGGAATGGACGAGTTTGTTTTTTTCTTCAGCTGGAATTTGTCATACAAAACACCGGAGACGAAGTGCATGAAGCATGCACTTACTGGTTCAAGCATGTGCACGTCAATAAAAGAGACCAAAGAAACAGCCAGGACAGAGGCAAGTAGCCTGGACATGTGACGTTTGTCCTTTCCTGTTGCGTGTGTGAAAAGGAGTGAGAGCGAAGTTGAGCACTTGGAAAGTTTGAGGTTTTGGGCTTGCGTGTTTTTGCACGCAATTTATCGGCATCGCCGCTCCTGCTCGGACCGCAAGCGTAGGAACGGCGCGCACGCGGCTAGTGGTTGTAACCCTGAATTTTCGCATCATCCCAAAACGATGAGGAAACCGAACCATACGACACTGATGACATTCCTGTTTTGACTGAGGAAAAGATAGCCCAGCTTCAGGAAGAACATGTGGACACTGAACCTTATACGTCAGACCACTCTCATTTTGTGTCCAATTTGATGGTACTGTTTTTGTTCCTTTAGGACCCCAAATCCAAGCCGCTCCTGATCTTGGTTCATATGATGTTATGTTATTGGTTTCAATCAGTTTGAACAGTATCTTGCCAAGCATGGCAAGAAGCAACCAAAGGCAGAATCAGTTATCACTGAAGAATTTTTGAAGAAGCATGCTAAGGAGATCAAACAAGCCAAACTTGAAGAATTCAGAAGCTGTCTTGATTTCACTGCCATGACTTTTCGTGACAAGAGACGACATAAGATTGATAACTATGTCACTGGCAGATGGGTGCTTACAATCAAGGTTGATAAGGATGGACAGTTCAAAAAGTTCAAGGCTAGATGGGTATGTAGAGGCTTTCAAGATGCTCAAACGTATGACTTACAGACTGATAGCCTTACTGCTGTCAGGTATGGATTTCGCGTGGCATCTCAGCATGCCGCTTCGATGTACTGGGACTTACTCCACTTGGACTTGAAAACAGCCTTCCTTCACGGCGAACTTAGACCGCCGCGTTATCCATGTGCAGTTGCCTACTGACATTGGTTTGCCTCCTTACTTGGTTGGTTTATGCACCCGCTCCGTCTATGGACTTGCGGACGCACCTCCAAGATGGTGGAAAAACTTAGACAAATTTCTGAGTTCACCTGGCCTACAAGAGCTGACAGATGCACATGTGTGTGCTTTGAAGGTGCTTTTAAGAAACCAAAACAAGTTAGCTTTGCTGACTCTGAGGCGGCAGAGCCAGCACTGCTGAGGGGATTCATAAGTCTTTTTTGGTTGAAGAAAGATTGTTTTCAGCTTGTTATCAGCAAACCAAATTTGGAAACAGAGGAAGGAGCTTGAGGAGAAGAAGGTTGAAAATTGTGCATGGACTACTGTTGTTGATAAAACCATTTTAAACACAACGCTTGTTGGTATTCTTTTGAAAATGGTCATGCTCAAGTTTCTTTTCGTGCCAAGGTATTGAGAACTCCTGATCCATATGATGAAGGAAAAAATTCCATTTGAGGACTTCCATTGTGAAAAAAAAAGGAAGTTGGTGATTACTTGAGGTGAACCATGGTTTGAATAAAGAACACGTTTCCACAAGTTTGGGAGAAAAAATCGAAGTTCTTGTTTCAACCTTCTTACCTTCAGAACGCACATGCCTTGCCACGACACCACAGTTCCTTAAATCAACCTAATCCAACCCTAAAGCAACCGTAGACAAACTTTAAACAGACCATATATACCGAACCCCCCAAAAAAACCTTAAACCAACCCCAAATAGACCCTGAAAAACCATCAATGAATCCTAAACCAACCCGAAATGGCAGGTCCAAGCGGCAATCTAGACCCAACATCACGAAGTCTATTTCTGTCTGATGCCTTCGAGTGGCGAGCTAGAGCATCTCGATCGCCCGGTAAAAAGAATTGGATTTAACAAAAATATCCAACTTACCATTGAAATATATTTTTGTAGGATTTTTTTGATGCCAGTGTTTTAATTTATTTGATCTGGAATATTTTTTCGATCCCTCACTTATACGGTCGATGCACCACGTACAATGTGTATTCAAAAATTTTAAAGAATTTTTTTGATTGTTCGCATAGCCTTGTAAAGCCGATCTGGGAGAGATTTTTTTCGACACAAACCTGAATGATTATATGGGAGGTTTGTTGAAAATATTGAACGAAATTGATGTTAATTTGGAAAGAGTATAGGGTGCTCCCCATGGTTTTGAAGGTGATGCAATGCTTGGTGGTTTAAACATGTTTTGGGGTTGTCCGGTTGGAAAATGAGCAGGGCGATCCCCAGCTAGACAATAGACTATGCCCATGACAACGTCGCAGAAGGGTTGATGGGACATTCGATGTTTGCGAGGTTTGTGGGGCAATTTTTTTGATCACCAGTGGACCTGCTCGGAGCTGATAATTTGGTTCAAAATGCATGAAAACCGATGAAACAGATTCATTAAAAATCACTTCCCAGGAATGTGCCAGTTTCAATGATGTTCCCATTGTTTGCATGACTCTTGTTGCAAGAAACCAATTCAAATGTCACGTTTTTTCTCAAACATGAAATCAACTATGAAGATTATGAACTGTAACAAACACATACCAACAGATCCAGTGTACACATGTTAACCATCCATGGTTTTCCTGGTCATTGGTGACTCGAATGGTTGCTCCGTGGAAAAGGCGGTGGATGTTGAAATCCAAGGCACGTTGGGAAAGGTGGCGATTGATGTATTCCACAAATTGCGATTGATGGATTATTTTCATGGTAAACAAAAATGTTTTGTTTGTTGTTGTTGTTGTTGTTGTACTTCAATGTTGCATTCTGAAACATAATATTGTTTTACAAAAACACATAAACAAATTGTCATTGCAACTGAAAAAAATCCCCAAATTGTTGGGAGATTTGATTTACATCAAATAAACAAACATAAATGCAATGTCAGAATACGACTGGCTGAGGCTCTCCGGCGGCGATTCCACCAAACAACAAAACACATGTAGAACAAAATTCTAATTGTACAAATTTTCGCCAATTATCACGAACATTCCCCAATGTGTTAAAAATGCATTTATTTGGAAACCGACAAAACACCCACACACAGCCCGCATTTTATGTTGCTGGAAACGCTGGCAGGGTGGCCAGCAAGGAAGTGGCGTGGGACCCAAGGAAGGGAATGGTACAAATGGAGCGATCAACGATGTGTTGCGGTCATGAATGAAATTGCTGGGTCGATAGCACAGACAATACGAGGATCTCAACTGTTTCTGATGTTTAGAAAAAACAACATGCATGGGTACATGTCTAGGTCTGATTCTTTATCATGCGAATTTGCAGCACGATTTGTAACTCTTCAGTCCGGTTTTCTGTTGCGTTTTTTTGTACTGTAACTCTTGGGATTCCTATGAAACACTGTAAATCATGGGATTATAATGGGATACCAATTCATTGCTGTGCTGATTGGCTCACAGTTGTAATTTTGGTACCAATTCAGTGCCGCGGAAACGCCGCGGCGCCGACCGAAAAAGGCCAGGCTTGGCCGGGCTGGAGTGGTTGCAAACATCCAAGAGAAATGGGAAATGTTGACAAATACTGGCCGTGGGGGCATAACCAACAGTAAAAGTAGTAACAGTGGAGAAATTATTTCCCATTAGAATTATAATTCCCCATTCAATAATGGATTATAATTCCCCAGTGATCATGGGATTATAATGGGATAACCTTGGGAGGATCCCAATTATTTCCCTTTGTTTCAAGGCGATGGTGACCAAGAATGCCGTGATCGGCATCGACCTGGGAGCAGATACCTCTTTCGTTGGATATGTCGGCAAGGTGTTGAATTGGAATGGGAAGGTTCAGAACCATGGGTGGTGCCTATGAAGTGACCAAGTGGTTGTGTTTTATTTGTATATAGTGGTTGTTTTATATTTTACATGTTCATTTTTTTGAAATCATTTTCAATGACTTTGAGCTACCGGATAGATGCAGCTGGAAACGCTCTTATTGGATGTCCGCCACACTGGCAGGGCATTGTGGATATCTGCCAAAACGAGGCAGGAACCAGTTGGGTGAAGCTTGGCAGTGGCAGTTCGGATCCACAATGCCTGCTCAGTACCTCTAAACGTTGAACTTCATGTTTCATGATAGATTGGCATCTTCAAACACAGCCCGGAAAATAATGAAGAGGCCATGATTCTGAATAAGGGCTGAGTGTAGAGGTGCCAGGTGTCAGTCTGTTAGTCTCCCTTTTTTTTGCCTAAAATATTTTTTTCAGGTGTCACGAAGAGAAACTCCTTCGCTCGCCGGAACCTTTGTGAACACTTTGGAGCTGTGGGGTTGGCGGTTGTAGGATGGGTTCAGCCACCGCTGAGTGAGGTGGGCTTCACTGATCGAGAGCGCTTGCTGGGTGACAGTGCTCTGGCGCTTGTGAAGTCCAATGCTAAGTGCCTCGGCGGGCAATGGGGGTAGATTCCGGGTAGATGGCAGGTTGAGCTTGAGAAGACTGGACAGTGGCAGATGGAAAGGCTCAAAGGTGACCAGCTTTTTGTCGGTACAAGAGCTGTGACGTTGCTCTTCAGCGCATACAGCGTCAAGATGTAGCAGTAGCAAAAAAAATTGAACTTGCTGACATGTTTCTGTTTGGGAGTTGTTCTTGGCCTTTGCAAGCTCGCTCCCTCTCCACCCAGGAACACATGTCGGAAGCTTATTTTCAGAGCGAGGTTTCGGTTGTTCAAGATTTTGAAGTTTCTTAGTTTGTACACATTTGAAGCAGCAATTCTTTGGCTGGGATGCAGTTCGTCATGATGATCCTGGATCCTCATCCTCCTCATCCTCCTCCTCCTCCTCATCATCATCATCATCATCATCATCATTATCATGATGATGATGATGATGATCATGATCATGATAATGATCATGATCATATCAACCATGACCACTTGACGAGGCAGAAATTTCAAGCACCTCTTAGGGCAGAAGTTGGACTCCCCTATGGTGAAGGAGGAGGACTGGAGATCACATGAAGTGAAGCCTTGACAAAAGGTCTGAGCTCAGACACGCATTCTTTCGGGCAGCTTGCCACATGGTGAAGATTGATAAGTTGATTTTGCTATATTTTGTTCCCTTTCTATGGAATGATCCATCAAGTATACAGACATGAACCATGAAGTCTTCGAGCCATGGATCATGACTCACAGTGTCAGGGTTCCAGAGGGACCGCCAGGAGTTTTGGTCCACCTCGGAGATCTGCCAGTGTCCTGTTTTCCCGGCTGGTTGACTGTGGGTCTGCTGATCATTTCGAAGTCGTACAAATCCACAAGTTGATGGCATGCAGGGGCAAAGGTCTCGGTGCCACAAAGTTCAGGTTATAGTTTTTCCATGTTTTTCCCAAAAAGCAGAGGGCTCTTGAACGGTCTTCGTCCTCGGATTTGGGAACCTGTGAGCTGCCAGGATGGAACCGTCGGCTACAAGGCAACAAGCAGGGCGATGCTTTCTTTGAAACGCATACTGACACATACTGACACCAAATATGTATGGACAAAATTGGACAAAACTTCTTCATTTCAAAAAGTGGCCCTTGAGGGTCCAATGGTCCAACTATCAGCAGGTGAACTACAAGGGCCAGGAGGAGGAAATGTCGGCGATCCGGGTGCGCGAGTGCAGACAGATGATGTTTTTCACTTTGATGACAGATCGACTGATGACTTCTCATAAATGATTTTTCTATCAAATTATCATAATTTATCTGTCTGTCTATCTGTCTACCTATGTCTATGCACATCCAAGATTGGAAGACTTGATGATTATTTTTGCCTATTTTCCCAATGAACATGCCAAACCCCTGGGGGGCATCTCCCGTTTTGACCAAGCCAATTGGAAATTCAACCACCCAACCCCATGGGCCATGTCAGGTCACCGCGATGTTCTTGACAAAGCTGAGGGATGTCACTGAGAAGTGGACCAGTAACAAGGCAAGAAGTGAGGTACCTATGGAACCACAAAAGAAATGTGTCATTTTCCATCATTTTTAGTGTAGAAAAACCACTCGATTCTTGGCGAGACATTCATTTTTTGAGCCACATCTCAGATTCTCGCTGACACCTCCAGGTGGCAGACTGCGTCATTGGAGTGCCATCGTACTATTCTGATGTGCACAGACAGGACGACAGTGTGACGACTCGGGGTTTCAACAGTGGTAGCAGGTTTCGACAGTGCTACGGTGGGTAGTTCAGTTTGGAGTGGTTTGGTTTCTTCATATCCCCAATATTTATGAGTCATTTATGAGCTTGTGAGTTCAATGATTGGTTGTCCAGTGCCCATCTTGAACTGTGAAGGCCTTGCTGGATGCGGCGAAGATAGCTGGCATGCCAGTCCTACGCAGCGAAACTCAGAACGGAACTGTGACGCTTCCGCTGGATGGTCCAGGTGGTTCATGTGCCCCAGGTGGTTTCCCAATGAATTCTCGGCGAGGCCTCATGAATGAGCACACAGCCACTGCATTGGCCTACGGCATCTACAGGCATGAAATGTTGGTCAGTTGGTGAACCACAAACATTTTTATGCCGATTTGGGATCCTATAAATTTTTGAACCAAGATCACATGTGTCAGGGAATCAATCAACCGGATAAACTTTCTTTCTAGATCTTTCTAGCACATCTCAGATACACCATACAGGTATGAGTTTCCCTTAGGATTTCAGGGGGCTAGCCCCCCTATAGAGGATGGATTTTCTACAGTTCGAAAAGCACGAATTTGCTTAAATGATGCTTTCGAAGTTCCCCCATTTTTCTACAGAACAACTTTTGGAGACCTCTGAGTCGTAAGATGCTGATTTTCTGGCTAGTTTAGGTGCCCAAAATCCAGAAGCATAATAATGTGAGCATATGTGGCTCTAGAAAAAGGGTAGCAGTAACTTGAAGTGGTTTACAACATATTTCACATCGTATTTGCAAGAATATGCAATTCAAGTACGGCGGTGTTTTTCTAAGGAAAAATGCTAAACATAGCTTCTAAAATGCACTTCTTATTCGTGGCCATTTTTCTAGGATACCAAAATCGGTTTGATGTCTGTTGATAGATTTTCTTGGGTCCCTAATTCATACCGCCTACATTTTCTACTAGAAAAACAATGAACAACACATGTGCCAACCGGACCAGGCGAACTGGTACAGGTATGATACACCAATGGGCCCATGGGGGGACCGCAGATGCCACAGGTCAAATGACTTTGATGCCGAGAAACCATGCACAGTAGCGTTCTGCAACGTGGCTGCAGATTTTCATCGGAGAGGGCCGGTTTTGCTCTTCCTGGATGAACTTGGAACAGAGATGGGATTGTCTTAAAAGTACCAAAACATACGCAAAAATTGGATACACCATGATACACTAAAAATCTCATGCATGGTTCATCATTTTTCCAATCTAAAATGGCAATGTTTTTTCCATGTTTGAGACAAAATCAGATGCGCCGTTGCACTCCGTTGCACTCCGTTGCACTCCGTTGCACTCCGGTGCACTCCGTCGCACTCCGTCGCACTCCGTCGCACTCCGTCGCACTCCGTCGCACTCCGTCGCACTCCGTCGCACTCCGTCGCACTCCGTCGCACTCCGTCGCACTCCGTCGCACCCCGTCGCACCCCGTCGCACCCCGTCGCACCCCGTCGCACCCCGTCGCACCCCGTCGCACCCCGTCGCACCCCGTCGCACCCCGTCGCACTCCGTCGCACTCCGTTGCACGCCGTTGCACGCCGTTGCACGCCGTTGCACGCCGTTGCACTCCGTTGCACCCCGTTGCAACCCGTTGCACCCCGTTGCACCCCTTTGCACCCCGTTGCACTCCGTTGCACCCCGTTGCACCCCGTTGCACCCCGTTGCACCCCGTTGCACTCCGTTGCACCCCGTTGCACCCCGTTGCACCCCGTTGCACCCCGTTGCACCCCGTTGCACTCCGTTGCACTCCGTTGCACTCCGTTGCACTCCGTTGCACTCCGTTGCACTCCGTTGCACTCCGTTGCACTCCGTTGCACTCCGTTGCACTCTGTTGCGGCACGAGGCAACATGGGACACACCATGTTCTCAGTGTCCATAGTGCAGTTTGTGAAGGGCAAACTCACAGTGCCTTGGCCGCAGCCTGCTGATGGACCTTTCTTGTAGGGATGGATCTGTCAAGGCAGCTGCTTTAAGGTCCTACATATTCAGCGGTGTTGAGTAGTTTCTAGCAGCTGAGGTTTGTGTCCAAAGTTTTTGAAATGAGAAGAAATGTCGTGGCATGAAAGATGACACTGTAGAAATCTGGTAGAGAGAGCTAGATTGCATGGACATCGTTCATCATCGTTCCACCTCTGCACCAGGGAATCATTGAATTGATGGTACAGACTCATTGGCATGAATGATGGACCATTCACCATCAACAGGATTGGCACATGTTGAGTTAGATGGGCTTGTACCAGGTGGTCTGTGAGAAATGCGACAAGGTTGGTGGCAGGAGCGGCTCTTGCTGTTGGAGTGAAGATTTCAACTGCCAAACCCAAAGCGTTTCTGGTATTTCAACCCTCCAATCTCCAATTTTGGAGTACCAGTTTTTGCACCAAGAATCTGCAGAATTCAGAAACTCACTAGCTTCGAGCAAAAGTTTACTCTGCTCGCCTCATCCAAACAGCAAGACCTGCGGAGCATCTCGGCCCAAGCGCCTCTTCAACTGACCTGACCTCGCCCCCGGAGATTTCCGATGCAGGTGGAGTTGCTGTTCCTGAATGGTGAGTCCCTGGTTGTCGACCTGGCTGCAGGTTTGGAGGAGGCCAAGGTGAAAGCTGCACAAGTGCTGGAAACAGCACCGCAGGCGGTGTCCATCAACGCAGGGGGTCAGGTGCTCACCCAACACCTGCTGTCACAACTGGCCAAGAATCAGTCAGTGGAGAGCTGCAGCAGCTGCTATGCCGTGGTGGACCAGGATAGACTGCAGATGGTTGAGGTCTTGAAGGATTTGGAGGAGGGTCTACAGGATCTTCGGCGTCAGTCTGAAGTGGTCAGAGAAATGCGGGCTGCGTGGAAGTTGAGGGAGTTGGAGCTGCCATGTCTTCAGGACTCTTCCTGCGATCGATGCATTCGGGCGGCTGAGAGGAGCTTGAAGGAGATGGGAATATGATGGAATATGTGCATGGTTGAGATGTGAATATATGGGAGTATGAAAAACCTAAATGATTCAATGCTCAGGATGCATGATTGAATCGATAAAAATCGCCAGCATTCCCGGGTCCAATAACTGTTGCAGGAGGATGTGCTTTCAGTGCAAGAGGAGAAGGCTTTGGTCTTACGCATCTCGAAGCTTCAGCGGCTAAAAAGTGAAGAGACCGCACTGCTGGAGGCACATCGAAAAAGGTCAGGCATGGATTTTGAACTGCATCGGAAACTGCTGGAGGAGAGGAAGCATCTCCGCCATGACTTGCAGTCCGAGATTCAGGACATCATTGATGTCCGAGTTGATTCCTTCCCCCAGCCTGCAGATGAGCCCGAGTACTGCACCCCAGAGTGGGTGGAGAAGCATATCATCCGACCTCAGATGGCCCTGGGTAGCTTTGACGATGAGACGCTGAGACAATTCTGTCCTCGCTTGGAGCGGCGCAACGTGTTTCGAGCTTCCAAAGCTCGGAAGTCGGCTGGGAACGGCTCCGAAAAAAGTGCTGATGGCCACACCGGTCCGCAGGAGCCGCAGGAGCCAGCACCAAGGGTCACGGTTGGGAAGGTCAGATCAAGGAACCCGGGAAGACCGGGAAGACCGGGAAGAAAGGAACGCAGGCGTAGTAGGTTGGATCAAATCAGAAATGAACTTGAAATGGAGCTGTGCTGAACTTTGGCTGTCCCCCACCTGGACATGTGTACAGTGTACAGCCTTTGGGATGTGAAAAAGTCTTGGGCTGCAGGGACAGTGGTTGCACATGGTTGCACATGGTTGCACATGGTTGCACATGGTTGCACATGGTTGCACATGGTTGCACATGGTTGCACATGGTTGCACATGGTTGCACATGGTTGCACATGGTTGCACATGGTTGCACATGGTTGCACTGGGAGAACCAATGTCTTTGAGAAGTGCCTTGTGACTATTGTACATGCAACATGTGCCATGTGTTGAGGACCATGACCGAGTGCCTGATGAGGGAGTTCGCAGCGCAATTTAAGAAGAGCCTCAGCTGCATACCGCTGAAATCCTGCGGCATGAGGTCACCTTTCGTCTCTTGTCCTGAGGAAAGTGGGCTGCGATCCTTTGTCCAACAAGAAAGCTGCCTTCAAGTTGGAGGCGAAAAGCAAACGATGTCATTCAGGGAATTGAATTAGGGCTGCATTTTCTTGAGTGTTTGTTTCCAAAATGTCCTCACCATATACAAATTTATAAATTCTGAATGCTTGCGACATTCTCTTGGTGAATCCGTACTTTTTGAAACTCTTTGTAGTACAAGATCATTCAGATCCTGAATTTAACCACGATCCTGAAGTGTGCTGCGAGGAGCAAGTGACAAAGACCAAGAAAATCTTGTCCGCAAACAACGAGGCCGGCTTCCATGGGATGATCATATGGTGGACACAAAACGCGATCTCCATTTGGTGCCACCCAGAGGCTGTTTGGTTCCGGACTTTCCCATCATTTCCCACCGCTGGTAGGCCCAACTCTCCGTTGAATGCCTCATGGAGGTGCGCTGCGCAGCTGCGTTTCTGGTGATCGCTGGACTGTGGGACCAGGGGCCCATGGCCATCCGACCAGGATGAAGACTTCGGCTCCACGATCACTCGCGATGCCTTTCTGGAGATGTGCCAACCCATGATGGACAGGTGGGAGAATGTGCGAGATGCGAGAAGAAAATGCGGGCATTTTTCAGAGAGATCTACATGGTATCCACACGGCGTCACAAGATTGGACCCAGGCCCAAGACTGTAGAAACTGTAGAATGATCAGGATTTGTGGTGCCCAGATGTTCCGAGGGCCTCGAATTTCGATCCAACATCCATCTATATAGTTATTCATGCCCACTGGGAGTTTTATGACCAACGCAAATCGAGATGTTCCCAACCAAACTCGACCACCAAGAGAATCGCGATTGAACAACACCAACAACATGTATCAACATGTTACATAGGTATTTTATGGTATTTTAAACAGCTATTGAACCAACAAACTGTGTGTGTTTTTAATGATTTTTTAACCATCCCCACATCCCTCTAGTCGTTGCAGGGTCAGCGCCGTGCTCGAGGGAGCCAAGGCCACAGCTGCGGCAGCAGGCGTCACCGTGGAGCAGTCAGGGCTCTCAGAAATGCTGAAGTCACTGGGAACAGGTTGGAAGAAACAGATCAGAATCAACAATAGTAAGAGTTAAAGTTAAGCATAATAATGATACCTAGCCGATAACAAAAAGGATGCCGCTACGACAAATATATACAAATATTCAATAATATTCATAATCTTGAAATATCTTGAATCTTAATCATATTATCATCCCAAATCCCGTGGTTTTGATCATTTTCCCCTCTGAAAATTTGAAGTCCCCATTTAAAGACGAAGCCATATTGGCAATGCACAGAAGGAATATGCCATCAGTTGGGGAGGTTTGGTCCTTTTTGTTTGGTTGATCTACAATCCGACTAGATCCAGCATATGGATGGGGTCGATTCCTGCTTCAAAGGGCACGTCGTTGTCTTCTGTGATTCGAGATGAAACATCCATGTGAAACCACTTAGCTGAGAAGTTGGTCATGTGATAATGTGTGATAATGTGTGATAATGTGTGATAATGTGTGATAAACCTCTGTAAACCCAATGAATCATCCCGAAATGTCCCGAATGATTTGCCGAATGACTTGCCGATTCATTCAAATCATCCCCGGTTGGAGGATCGACTTTGTGGAGATGATCGGTGGTGCTTCGCGCGTTCCCTGGGTCAAGGAGAGATTGCCAGTGGTCTTGACAGCCACGGAGACACGGAACATGTATGTCAGTGGTGAAAAAATATACTTTACATATCTTTACATATTAATATTGTATTTGTGAATTTATATCGTATCTTTAAAGCTACAAATGGTTTTGTTTATAGGTCTTAGGTACTTAGGTACTGAGTTTCAATGTGCACCCTGGTCCCAGGATTATTGCTCTAAAGCCTTTGGTGGCAAGGTGCAGAGATGGGCGGATGTGCGGTTGGATTTCATGGTGTTTGATGGGCAAACGGCCAGGGAGGATGGGGAGGATAGGGATTTCTGTAGTGAAGGTAAAAACTCATTTGAAGACAATGGTGTTTTCATCTAGTGACTAGTGCATAGCAATGCACTTGAGAATGCGAACGCAAACTTCACTCAGTATGGTCAACTCACATGTTTGGGCCATTTTGTCTTATGAATATTTTAGCGTCCAAAAACACTAGAAGCTTGGAACATGATGCTGTGATCATTGGAGCTTTAAATCTTGATCAGCACGTATTCTTGGCCTGATGCTCAGCAGAGCAAGATCAGCTCCAGTATTTGTAGGTATACTGTAAATCCATGTAGACAGGGAGCCATTTGAATGGTGTGCTGCATGGTGAAGCAGTACTAGGGGCCAGATGCTGTTCTGGCCCAGAGACTCAAGAGTCCCCAGCCAGAAAAGTATTTTGCAATTTCGGGCTACCTTGAAACAGGGAGCAACTCCCACAGGTGATAGCAACAAAGAGGGATATCAGTGATTATCAGGATATTTTGGTGGTTTCCTAAACCTGTCGTAAACTGATATTTTGTGGTTTCATGAGGTTTCCTAAACCTAGTAAATCAGGATATTTTTGGTGGTTTCCTATGGTTTCCTATGGTTTCCTAAACCTAAACTGGTACCCCAAGTCATCCAGTCGTCATTCGAAACCATGGTGCCGTGACGACGCGCCAGGAGCTCTCGACCACCATGAACGCCGACGAGTCGGTGGCTCGCGGCTGCGCCCTGCAGGCCGCCATGCTGTCGCCCCTCTACAAGGTGCGAAAGGATGGTCACTGGATAGTGATCAATATGTGAAAGGGATTAGAAACATATATATATATATGTTATATTAATATATATATATATATTAATATATATAGATATAGACAAATTGACACAAATTGATACAAATTGTTGGTATCCGGAAATAAATGTAAGGGATGATCAATGATTGACCCTGGAATTCGTGACAAGAGATATGGATTGACAAGACAAACAATGGGAGAAATAAAGGTAAGCACCAAAAGAGGGAGATGATTGTCAATGGATTGGTGTACTGGAAAGGCTTTAAGACAATGGCGTAACCCAAACATGAAGACTTCACATGAAGGTTTCCTACGGTTCTTCCCTTGAACCCATTCTGGAAATTTGGCCACAAACTTTTGGAGAGAAAACTTTTGGAAATTTCAATCATTACGCAATTCAAATACTTGGTGAAAGAACAGGGGCCAATCTTGGATTTCCATTCCCTCCAATCCCTCGGCATTTTTCTTTTGCCGAGGTGCGTGAATTTAGCGTGGTGGATGTGACACCACACCCTGTGACCATTGGTTGGATGGGCTCAGCTGCCGATGCCGAAGCCGAGAAGGTGCAAGCGCTGGAGCACTGGTATGCACTGGTGGAGTTGGGTGTGTCTGAAAATAGTGTACCCCTAAACCCAATGGTTTTGCTGATCATTATCCCTATTAAATGGCTATTTCATTGGGAATATACCCAACATTTTCAGACAAACCCAGTTGGGTCACCCCAAAATTGGGACAAGGACACACCAGGTCGACGGTCACGGGATGGCAAGCCAGGCCGATGAGGATGGTGAGCACATGGCTGGAGCAGAGGCAGCTTTCTTGGGAAACAAACATGAATTTCAGGAACAAACATGGGGAGGAAACATGGCGAAACCAGCCAAAAGCCACAAAGGTGAAATTAGAAATCATAGGACAGCCAAAAGTGATAGGCTTCCGCCGGAAATTCATGGTTTGAGATTGGAAGCCGTTTGTTGTGGGCGAGAATTTAAGACCAAGGGATCCAGATGAAGATTTTGGCCACCTACGAGTGATAGTGTTGCCCTCCGAAGACAAAGATTCGATTTTGCAGGGTCACTTGGAGACTGCTTTGGTCCTTTGAGTCGTACCTCATTTGTGTACTGAATGTTGAACCTCATCCTGAGCTGTGTGGTGAGACTTGATGCAGGGTGAGTACAAGACCATGACTGTCTTCCCGCGCAACAGCGTGATGGGCACTGTGCCTTGTTGGAAGCAACAGTTTTTTTTTGGGTCAGACTCTACCAGTTGCACATATCAAAATTGGGACCCCCCAACGGCCACAGGTGAAGATGCTCACTTTCTATCGAAAGGGACCTTTCGACCTCAAGTTGGAATACGAAGACACTACCGCGTGCGCGAGGGAGTTGGGAAGAGCCTGGGAGCCTTCCTTGAGCTAGCGGTCACACGCCCAGATCTTTCTATATGGGGGTTTCCTAAAGTATGGGATCCCCAAGTCACCCTTGGTTGTTTCAATACTAAGTCATGGTCATCCATGAGGACTGGATGATATGGGGGTACGTACCTTTTTTTTTTGGGACACCTCCATATGCAACCATAGATAAAGGGGTTATATAAATTAAATATATAAATATATGAATATAAATAAATATATAAATATATGAATAAATATGTATATATATATAAATAAATAAATAAACAAATAAGTAAATAAATAAAACAATATATATATACATATACATATATATATAATATACGTGTATATATATACATACATAACAGTTATATCCCAACTTATAGGGTTTATAACCATGATACCCATATCGCCACATCTCTGCCAGGTTGGTGGATGGCGTGAACAAGTTCTTAGGCAACTTCAAGGCCGAGAGTCCTGATGAGCTGCTGGTAGATTGAGGCTTTCATAGGAAAATTATGGGAAAAATCACTATCAATGGAGGTTTATAGTATATAGCTGGGAAAATCATCTATAACTAAATGGGAATATAGGAATATACCCTGTAGTAACTCCAAGATTGGGAACTCCAAGAGATTCCATGGTGTGGAGACTCATGTTATCTGTTGAAACATCTTGAGACCAACCCAATTTGTGTTGTTCCCAATCTCACTGTGGATGGGTCACTATGGCTCAAACATTTGGACCTGGGAACCGCAGAGATTTTGGTATTCTTTTAGTAGGAACTATCCACTTTAAATCACTTTAATAGATCTTAGAGCGAATTTGCCGATCATTGGATAAACAATTGGCACAAAACTAATCATTTTTTTTGCCAAAACATGATCAATTGGCGCATACCTTTTCTCAGGTGGACCTGCCAGGGGCTGCAGACACCAAGAAGATCAAAGTCAAGGCACAGGGATCACAGGGCGCCATGGTCAAGTTTGGATTTAATGGCGATCTATCCATTTCCATCCCATACTTCATAGTTAGATCACGTTAGATCATATTTCAGGTACATGTGGCGTGAATTTTGTGTGTTCCTTCACGGCGAACTGACACCCTCACTTCAATCGAAACAGACACCCCCATATATGCTTAATTTTGAAACACATTTCTGCGGGCAAAGTTAGAGTTTGCCTTTTACCGTCCTGCATAAGAGAGATCCTTATCAAGATGATCGGGATTCTAGAGGAATTTGCTGCTTCTCACACATTGGAGGATAGATAATGATAAATATTCACTTTAAGCTTTAAACATGACCTCCACACAAGAGGACCCCATAAGACAAGCAGAGTGGCAGTGCTCAAGCCTTGTTCATTCTGGACGAGCTTTGAATTTGTTGTTCCTTGTTTGAAGGGCTGGAAGGGGACGACGCGATTAAAAGATCCAAACTTCAACCCCTCCAGTCGTTGGGCATTGGCATTTTCACCCTCTCAATTTGGTTCATGTGCCCAAGCATTGCAGGCAAAGCTCTCCCTGAACGGCACCTTGTCACATCTATTCCCAGGGCAGGTTGCACATGGGAGCTGTGACTGCTGTACATTCAACTTGGCGGCTGTGGCTCTTTTTTTTCACATCCCTTTGGACCTGGTGTTGACCGGTGACAGTGCCGCATGAGGCACTTTTGGCCTTGAGAGCGCGCAGATGTTGGAAGAGGAGGAGTACGAGGCACATGCCCTGATCGATCCGGGCTGGTTCAGCAGCGTTTCATGGAGAGATTTCTATTTCGGGGCAAAATCCTGCCGAAAACACCCTCAGCATGGCACAAGGGTCTGGGTTCACTTCTCATTTTAAGTGTCAGGAGAAGGTCAAAGAGAAGAAGGAGATCGAGGTACTGGGCTGGGCTGGGCCATGGCGGCCATGGGATTCTGCCTCGACGCTTGCCGGCTTGCCAGGTGCCTGCAGAGGAGAAGGCTGAGGGAGAGGCAAAGCCTGACTCTCCAAAGGATGCCAAGCCAGAGGCCCACGCGGCCCACGCGGCCCACCGAGCCCACCGCCCACCGAGCCAAGAAGTAATTTTTCAACGCCCTTTAGAAAGGATGGAGCTGATCATCCAACATCTCTTTTTTTGTTGCTGGATGATGCTGGATGTCCTTGATGTAGATTTGAGGGATCAGATGTAGAGTCAGACTCTGCACGTTGCATGACGCTCAGGGTGAAGCCTCACCAGAGGGTGAGGGTGAAAAGAAAGAGGGATCACCTAAGAAGGAACCCGAAAAGAAGGCAGCGACCCGAAGTCTGGGGAGGGAGGAAACGGGAGGCTGGAGATAGCTGGAGTGTGATGCCGATCTTCTCCACGAATTTCTGGGAGGGCTCTTTCGTCACCTCTTCGAGTTTCTTCTCCTCGTGATTGCTGGTCCAGTCTTCTGATGTCAGAAGAAAATGGAGTCACGGTCTTGTGAGCTTGCCACACAGGGCTGTTTGGATTTGCAAGCCTATCACGAAAGACAGTTTCAGCTTTGAATTCGAATCATCCTTTGCAGAATTCCCTTTGACTAAGACTAAGAATCCGGATAAGCTTGAAACTGTGTCCACACCCAATCTTCTTGAGCTTTGCATTCATCGGAGGTCGAATGGGTGGAAGTTGTGAAGAAGAGCCATGTCTGCCCAGAGAGCTTGCACAATATGGGGGCAGTTTGATCAACCAGTGCAAGCTTGACCTGTGTCTGAGTGACATGCACATAGCGTGACGATTTTCTTTGACGGAATGAAGAGAGAAGTGTCCATGATACTTGTAGTGGTGACTGAAAATAATGCCCCCCACTTTGTAAAGTATTATCAATTTTAAGAGAGAAGGATGCACAAAGCAATTGCATAACACCCAGGAGTTTAGTTGAGACCCTGTCACATATTGCTTCAAACTCGCAAAGACAGACGGATGGGTTAAAACCTCGACGATCCCACTGGGAGGATTTTTAAAACCCATTTTCCAGGCAAAATTTCCCATGGTTTCCCATGATTTACCCGCTCAAATTCTGGTTTCCCCAATCAACCGGGATAGGGCAAGGAACATGGCCATAAGGGATACCTCAACATGGCCATCTAACTACTGGAGCTCCAAATTTTGTGGTACACTGGGTTCACCTGAAGATCCTGGTTCGCCGAGGAAGAAGCGCACCAAGCGCACGGATATCCCCATCATTGCCAGTGACACCTGCGGCCTGCCCGAGAAGTTCTTGAACAAACAGCAGGAGATGTGGCCGCCAAGCCAGCGATGGGGTCTGGGGTTAAACGAACATACCGAAATGACAATGAAATCAGAGGAAAGATGGATGGTAAACATTATACAACAAATCATATATATATATATATTATATTACACAATGACATTGATTATTAGACTGGGTCCTGGGTTGTCCTTTTGGAAATCAGGAAACCAGACAAGCAGTTCTTTTTCCTTCGACCTCTTAAGCGAATTCCAGGATGGATTCAGATGGCACAGATGTCCATGGCAGGATCAAGAAACTGCCATGCAGGCCGACATGAAGGCGTGGCCGGTGGATGTACGGCCAGTTGACTGGTTTATTGAATGCAAGGTTGAGGGGCCAGGCTAGTGGGGTGCTGGATTTCCTGTGCGACAGGAAATCATCGAGACCGATGAGAAAAGAAATGACCTCGAGTCCTACATTCTCACAATGCGGGACCCTGTTTTGACCGCAAACATCGTGCCATTCGTTAGACTCGCTTGTTTTGTGCAAGGTTCGGAACGGACGTCTCCCGATCATGTTTTTCTTCTTTTATTTTTCAGGGACACATTTAGCACTGCGCATCATGTGGTCCCAATGTTTTTTGTATTGCGAAGCAAGTGCAGCCAAAATTGTTGCAATGGCTTGGCTCCAGGACAAGTGCAGTGAAGGAGGTCAGTATGGTGCATTCATCAGCTCTGGAGATGCTTGGTGCACTGAGATCACTAAGATCACTGAGATTTGGGCTTCAGAGGCTTCAGACCGCTTCGGTGATGTTCAGTCCCATGTGCCACCTGCCACTCCGAGCCTCAGGATCGCGAGAAGCTTGAGTCAGAGCTCATGAAAGCAGAGGCACCGAACTCAACAACTTTGCAAGAAGTTGTACATGATCTTGTCATATTTTGTCGCCTTTCGTGAATCATGCATGGTGGCATGCTTGGTTTGCAGACCATGCAACTTCTTCAACCTTTCTCGATTCTGCACGAATGATGAGTTTCTTAAGCTTTTAAAAACAGATTTTGGTTTGATTTGGTTTGACTAAAAATTCGGTACCCCTAAATCTAAATGATACTCATCATTTTCTCATTGAAGTGGTTGTTTGAAGCGTATATACCATATTTTCGGACAACCTTTGGAAAGGCTAAGATGACACCAATGGCAGGACTGGCTGTACGACAACTTCGACGCTACAAAGGCAGGAGCCCATTCCATGCAGAGTTCATTTTGTTGACATAGCTGTGACCCTGCTGGCTGTGACCTTTGCAGATGAGAAACATGTCATTTTCGTTGTCCTCTGACAGGTGCAGTACATTGAGATACTCGACTGCACTGGCTGGCGGATTTGTGCAGCCATGGATAGGTATATCATATATCATTTGATAAGATTCGATTGGATTAGATTGATTCAACTAGATAGACGGATAAATGGATTCTATGATAGAAGTGATCGGTGTCTTTCTCAATGTTGTGTTGATTGGAAACGGTTAATTCCCCGGCTGCCCAGGAAGCTCGACGAGCTGAAAAAGCTCGGTGACCCCGTGGTCTTCATATTCAAGGAGGATGAGATGCGAGAAGATTGGATCAGCGCAGTGAAAGGTACCATCACCAACTACAGCAATGCGGCAAAGGGCCCTGGTGACATGTGACTTGGCTCCAAGCCCCTGGTGCAATTGATGGTTATTGAAAATCATGGCACTGTATCCCACATATTGTTGGTTTACATTCCCCCACAAAGCATTGTTGTTCGTGGCATTGTTCTTTTTTTGTGATGTTTTGCATGTAAGTATAAATCAGTATACATTCTATATGTTTAGATTCACATGATATCAGGCAGTTCCCAATGTGGGTGATATCGCTTTGGGCGCTGGACCACCCAGGTATAGCCACATAGCCCCCGAAAAGCTGGAGAGCATCGTCAAGGAGTGCGACTCGCTGTCAGCGTGGCTGGCGGACATGCAGGTGTCGGAGGGTGCAAGTTATTGTGGTGTTTGGTGCTGGTGAATAGGAGATTTCCACCCAAGTTGTGGCAATTTGAATGGGGAAACCGATGATAACATATCATAAGCTGTCATAAACCTTTTTTCATGGGGAGAGTGATGTTTCAAAATGTTTTAACATGTTTTAACAAACATTGGGTAACCTGTTCGTCTCAGTAACCTAGCTGCACCGCAAGTTGGACTTCTATCCAATTGGCCCAGCGTCCGCAGGGCAAACAAGCTGCCACTCCGAAGCATGACAAGCCAGTGCTGCATCTTGGCACTGCAGAACGGAGATGTTGAGAGGTTGGAGTCAAAGACATGAAGACATGATGTAATCCAATCATGATGACTTGATGTCAGAATGATTTATGATGATATTCATGACAATTTATGTTTTACTGTGATGATTTTGATGATTTACGATGATTTGTTAATTATTTCATGGTGTTTCATGAAGCCTTAAAGGTGGACATTCATCAACAGTGCATGGTTTCCCCTTCGGTACTCAAACATGACTGGCTGGGAAATGCCTCATCAAGGATCATCAAGGTGCATACAGACGGTTTAATGGGAAAATCATCCAACTAAATGGGGGATTGCCCAGCAAAACCGTGATGACAAAAGGGAAATGCTTCTGGCTTTGGATCAAGCGACTGGAACCTACTCAGTCGCTACCGAACCGTCTGGCGAGGTCCCTAAAAGTGGGACCGGAGTCGGCTTCACTGGAAAATATGCCTTTTGAAGTACCCAAAACAGCACCAAAATCAGGCAAAATCCAAGACTGGGCAGAAAAAATCGAACTCAACACAGTCACGATCCCGACTTTGAGATCTAGACCACAATTCCTTTTGAGTTGAAACCTTTGCCCTGGGTTTCACAAAGATTGTTTCACCGGGAACGTCGTAGCCTCGTTGGAATGCTTGGAAGATCTGCATGGACCACGGCCTTGACGGCCTGGTTTTTGGTGCTCTCGGTTTCAAAAGCTGAGACTGAAGATCCGCTAGATTCGACCTGTGAGGAAAGCGATGATCTACGAGTATCTTTGCTACAGTCCTCTTTGCAGGTGGCCAAAGCATCTGTGAAGGAGAACATAGAGAACATAGAGAAGATAGAGAACATAGAGAATATCGAGAACATAGATCGAAATGCCAGCATTGAAGCAGTGAAGCAGCACAGTCGCATGCTGAGCCCCTATGTGGAGGCTTCAGACCATGTTAAGATGCTGGCACAGAAGCATTTGAGCTTAGTTCTGCAACTGATGCTTCCAACTGAGAAGACGGCGCTCAACGGCATTCCTGCTCTCTTAGTCTTCATGTTGGCTGGCTTGGTGATGGCACTCTTTGTTGTTCAGCTGATTGGGGTCATGTTCGATGACCGAAGTAAGGAGGCTCAACCGTTTCAGCCCGGTCACCGCTATGGCCATGGCTATCCCCAGGCTCCATCCACGACGGGTCAAGGGAGCCTGCCTCCAATGACGCTTCCTGGCACCCCCCCCTCCCGTGCTTCCATGGGTCCGGCCACGGCACCGTCCACGGTGCAAAACCTGCCACAGAGAGAGACGCTGGGAACGGGCAGCCGGCAGTCACAGGCTCCGAATCCGGCTCAAATGTGCCCAGCCATGATCGTTCCCCATGCTGAAGCTCAATTGAAAAAGACGGCATTCTTTTGGGGCACTGTGCTATCTGTACTTGTTTTTTCTTCCATTTTATGTTCTCCCTATCTGTTTCTTGTGGTCATCTCTTGTGAAGAGTTTTTTAGGTCCCCTGGACAGGGTGTCTTAATTCTATTCTTGACCTCGGTGGACTGGACCTCCTAAGGATGCGAATTTCGCCATTCCCAATGCAGGGTTGAATGCACTGATCACCGGCCTGACTGGTAGTTTGGATGGCCCAGTTGCTGTCATTGGCGCACAAACCAACAAACCGCTGCTATATGCCAGGTCGCAGGGTTGGGCAAAGGGAGCCTAAGAACAATTCCAAGATGGGTTGATTTTTATCTATGTAATGAGGGTCCGGGTCAAAAGTGGTGTACCCCAAAATTGGAAGCACCCACAAAAATGGCAACTTTGGATCCAATTAGATGGTGGGTTCTTCCACCTTCTGAGCCACAACTGCTTCGTCAGGCAGGTTTCACCTTGTTTCCATGGCCATGTGGCTATCGGTCAAAATTAGGTACCCGAAAAAATGGGATCGTGAATACTCAAAACTGCTAGGTTTTCTATCCGGCCTTCAATTCGGCCCATACCCATTACAACATCTCATTGTATCCCATAAAATATCCCCATGAATATGCCCTAAAGTCCTTGGTTTTAGTGTGATATTCATGGACATCATGGTGTTTATGTGGGATTTTCTTGTTGGGAGATGGATGTTTCCACCTGTTTCCACCTGTTTCCACAGGTTCAAAGACGTGAAGGACAAGCGTTGGCTGCAGCTCTCCACCACCAGCAATTCGCGTTTTCCCCACTGCTGCGCAGGGCCCTTGGAAGTGGCCAGCGACGCCATGGTGGAGATCCGTGGGCCGCGGGGGGATCGCTTTGGGACCCTGGAGAAGGGCCATGACGCCACGTGCCCTGGACAAAAATGGATAAATCCTTCAACCAAAATATGGGGAATCTGTAGTGTAGGGAGATATTATTTGTTATTTTTTGTTTCCTGTTTTTTTTTCCATTTATTTTTATGTGGATGCGGAATCCGAGTTTTTTCCAACGTCCAAGGTGGTACATGCACCGTGCTGAGGGACCCTTGGTCCATCGCGTCTACATGATGAATGGACAGATGGTTGCCATGGACCGATCGCTGATGGCGGGCACCGGGATGTTCACACCCACCGCCTTTGAGCTGACGGTGGGTTGTTGAAACATGTTGAAACAGGGAGACCTCTGGTGGTTGATGGTGGTAGCATATTAAATGGACGTATAGTGAATATACACTGTTGATAGTGGTTGACGGTTGATGTTTTTTCTTTGCATTTGATGCAATTCGAAATGAACTGAAGCAGGTATGGTACACGCTTCCCACAGTCTGAGATGTTTTCCATTTAAACATCAGCGATGGCATAGCATATAGAAGCTAAATATCACCGTATATTATTCTTGCTGATCGAGCCTAAATCGCATTTGCTCAGAACATGGAAACAGAAAGAACTCGGGTGAACTGAAATGGACACAGAAGCACCAACGTAAAGCATGCTACTTAATACTTGATACTTGGCACATCACGAATAATGGACAGCTCGGACAACGCAACCGATATCATCCCCTTGACCTCAACAGATCTCTCTCTCTCTCTCTCTCCCTCCTTCCGTACATACGATAGTTTTTCATAGTTTTTCGACGGTGCAACTGCGCATGATGCAACGTTTTTTTGTCCTGCCCATTTGTCCACATGCTCGATGCTTTGGTCACACAATCATCACGTCATGATATGGCTTTCACTTGTGCATTAAGGTCTGCATGAGCAGACAGGATGTGTTCAACTATTTCAAATGGGACGATTATACGTCATTCACACTTGTGACGAACTAGACTCGCGATCAGCGCCTGTCAGGTGAGTCCGGGCAGGGACCCTCTTTTGACCCTTGTGAGCATGCTGATCATCATCTTGACATCGCCAGACATCAGACGCTGATCGATCGCAGAAGCAAATTGAAAAAGGGCTGCCGTTGATGCTGCTGATGCCACCCGTGGATGGCTTGAGGGTTACATAGTGGAATCCACGAACTACCCGGGTATGGGGGTATGGAACTGGGAATCCGTATCAAGCCAGCAGAACCAATCTACAGGAGCATGTTCCACCAGGTTCTACACACGAGCCTTGCGCTAAGGATTTGCTCAGACCTGGAGAAGAAGAACCAGGATCTGGCGAAATTCGCAGATGAGATTTTGAGGTGCCGGGCAACAGCGGGCATCTTGGTTTGTGCACAGGGATTGCAGTCGTTTCTGAGACCTACAGACTTGGTGCCTTTGGTGCCATGATTTGCGTCTTTTCAGCTTTTCTCCCTCTCCTCTCTAAAGGTCCGCGCTGAATTCAGGATCATGTTGATGTCTACGATTTTGCTGTTGCTTCACTTCGAGTCGATGATGTATGAAATTGTAGATTTTGATGGAGCTTGTAGCTTCAAATCAATTGAGCAGTGTTCAAAATCCCTGTTGGTTGATGTTTGAACAAGGTTGTTACTACCCTTTCCATGTGGGGGATCCCTTTAAAATGGATGGTTTATGATGGGAAAAGCAATTTTTCAATGGATGATTTGGGGGTTTCCGCATTTTTGGAAACCTTCATATGTGGAGGGATTATTCATCATGGACAAATATCATCCCTTGTGGATGATGATAATCCCTGATATGTTGCGGGTCATCCTGCCCTTTTCATCCATAAGTTTGGCCAGGGAGCCCAAGCCCAAGCCTCCTGAGCCACCAGCCGAGCCAAAGCCAGAGGTAGCGCCAGGGCCTAGATGGCGCTTTTGACAGAGGTTGTGGATATTCCTGGAAGATCCAAGAAACATATTCCCAAATCGAAAAAAGATGAGGATCATCTAGTTTTATCTAATTTTCAATGACTCAGAATGAATATCAATAGATGATAATAGATGAATAGTACTCCATGAATTCAAACATCACCACCTATCAGAATTCACGTTCCAATCCACTTTGCAGGAGCCTGCCGCCGGTGCTGCCGAGGGTGAGGCCAAGCCAACCAGCCCCAAGGAGGGAGATGTCGCTGATGTGGATTGAGGCGACACCTGAGCCGCACTTCCTCCAGGTGAAGTTTTACTGAAGATGGCGAAGGAAGCAATGTGTTGAAGAGACAGGGCGGGAACTATGGTGAATCATTCTGAATGATAGTTAAAGTTAATGTAATTGATTGTAATTGAATGCACTGTTATATATTCTTGATTGATCTTACTGTAGATGGGCACAAGGTTTGCAGACCACATTGGTGAGTTCAATCCTTGAGTTCATGCTTCAGTGGTCCATTCCACTGGAAACGAGTAAGACTGAGTAAGATATTATAGGTCTGAGGACTCCTATAGAAGGCTTTGCAGATCTTCTTTTGCGGCTTCCGGGTGTTGCCCAAATCAGGCTCGCCTGCTTTTGCATTGCATGCCATAGGACAATGCTGAAATCCCTGGTCCTAAAAGCATGAACAGTTTAGACTGCTAGGATCTGCTAGGTGTTTACTTTTTGAAATGGTCAGTCAGTTTGGTTAGCCGAGAGTGTCAGGGATTTGCTGTCCGGATCCGCGTGTTTAGCTTTTCCGAAGTCTTGGTGCAGTTCTTGCAGTCAATTCGAGTGACGGCGAAGCATGGCTGTGATCATACCAAATTGACACAAAGTGCAGCTCTTTCCAGAAGATACCTGCAGTAGACTAAGGCCAATAAGTCCATGAACAGCATCCCCAAGATGCCGATGAGATTCGCTGTAGAAACCATTTTTTGGGTGGTTTGGCATCATACAGTGCGGCCATATGAATTCAACCATGGGGGGACAGCGCCTGCTGACTCCAATTCAGACTGGTGGATAAATCAATCAACGAACATGTTGAAAAGCACCAGTTCGTAGAGGGAAAAAAGGGCAACAGCATTTCAGTTCATTTGCTTATGGGCTTATGGGCCTCAACCCAGAGATTTCGGCCGTACCATGACTTGACAATAGCAAACTGACTTGACCCATACCCATTGCACCCATGATGTCCGCTACCTGAGCCATTGCTGTCAATACCGTGCGTGCGGCGTTGCCGAGTAATGCGCAATTTTGAGCCCTTGAAGGGGTCAGTTGGTCGGTGGGAGCTGGTGACGTGGGACGCAAGTGCCCACAGCCAGTAGCGGAGATGGAGACTCCAACCCAAGAGCCGGCCGAACAGCCCAACAGCCCAACAGCCCACACACTTTCTCAACCACGGTTTGCAGAAGCTATTGAGGATTATATTATGGAGTTACTATATAGAGATTGGCAGAGATTGGTGAAGCAAGACTGTGATCCATGCTAAGATTGCCCATTGAAGAACAACGCCCCATTTGATAAGACCTGGTGAGCTTTTGCTCCACGGAACTTGAGATACTGAGATACACTTAGGATGGACGGATACATCCATCTCACTGGAGAGCACCGAAACACCGAAACACCCCTGGTGGAGTTTCCATCACCCCACCGTGGAAAGGCCTCAGTGTGAGGCAAACAGAAACCGAGAAAGACAACCACTGCGTTTTCCACAAAAGTTTCGACCAGGGTGGGATGGAAGAAGGGGATGGCAGATGCGCTACTGGCAGTAAAGCAATAGTAGCGAAAGTGGCGAATGGCTTACGGCCATGGTCCCCGACAAGTTTCACAACGGGTGCTTTGCAACGGTTATCTGTTTGCATTGACCGATGTCTGTTCTCCAATTGAGAGGTGAACAAACCACAATGTAATCCCCGAAATGGATGAAAGGAACACTTACAGGAAACCCTCATATTTGGTAAACAAAAGGGTTTCCTGTACATTTTCCCTTAAATCAATCCAATGAATGGGTCGCCGGCAGTGTGCAGCTGGGTTGCATCTCCTGCAACGCTACGCACAACTCGCTGACCGTTTGATTCAAGACCTGCCATTGTGATCTATGGTTTTCAGGTGTTTTCTTATACAACTTGGATTGACATATTGTAGAGATCTGGGATGATCTGGCTATGGGCCGTATGGGTCAGAAAATTGGGCACCCCCAGGGATGGCGTACTGAAACTGCTTCAAAATCTGTGGTTATCGTCCACCCGGACACAGCCCAAGGCCGGCGATCGCCCAAGCCTAAGCCGCGAGGCTGGAGAATCCCAAGCTTTGAAATGGAGAGAATCCTGGAAGATCCTGGAAGTGGGGCATGTTCCATTGGGGATATTGGAGGATATTGGAGGTACCCCAGAATCATCATTTTCCCCACTGATTCCCATTTCGGCAGGGAAACCCGCCGCCGCCTCGACAGCCTTGGGGCCAAGACCGAAGGGCTTGGTCTCCTTCCAAGAAAAAGTCTGCAAACCCAGTGGCACAGTTGGGACGTTTAAGCGGAAAAAGTGGATGGAACATGATGGAAATCTATGTGCTAAACATTTGGGAGCCTACTTGATTTTTCCATCTTGGAGTAGATATCTATTTCAGCACCAGATTTGGTATGCCTAGCCAGCCTAGCCAGTGAATTTTGTTGGCACCTAAAATTGGCATCCACATGGCGCTGAGGTGCATGTGCGGGAATTTTCCCGCCATGTTGGTGGTGGAGTAGAAGCCTTAGACTTTTTAGAGTTTCTAGCTTCAGTAAAAACATGTGAAAACGACAAGAAAAGGTTGCTTTTTGGTGATTTTTGGCATCCACATTTTTTTTCCGTTTCAAACCAGCCATCCCTGATCAGCCTACGCCCAACTTCGACTGTCAAGCTTGGAGGTGCCCAGTGACACTGGGGTTGCGCTGGGTCTGGGGATTCAGCTGCGCAACGCTGGGGGGACCCAGCTGTCGGCCAATGAATCGATGAGTGGGTCGGGTGGGTCGTTTCGAAAACACTAGTGGCAACTGTTCCAAAATGTTCCGGGATGATTTCGAAGTTGCGTTTTATATATTTTGAATTATTTTGATATGTCATAGGTCATCTTTTTAGACTAAGTCAAGTTTTGAGGGACTGCTGTAACTGACCCGACTTTCCTTTAGGCTCAACATGGCTCAACTCCCCGCAGGTCACGGAGCCTCTTAGCGCTGAGCGGCCTGGAGTAGGGAAGCTGGACAAGGTGCTGAAGGGGGTGATCCCATAGCCCCTGGATGAACCAATATTATCCACAGCAGATTTCTTACGAAGCTATCGAGGATCGTTATTGTCATTATCATCATTGAAATGCTAGGAAAACACAGAAACACAGTTCACAATGCCCCCCACGAGTCATCCAGCGGCCTTCGAAATGATCAGTGGTGTCAAGCAACAGTACCATCAGAGAGCAGGTACCAACATGATGTTGATACACCAAACACCATGAAAAACATCAGCATGGTGTACCAGGATGTGATTCACTCAAAAAAAACCATAGAAGGGGATCGTCATCCACCCAAAATCACTCAAACATATAGGGTTTCAGCTGTTTCCAGGCTGCTGAGCCGCTCCCACCACGGCAGCGGGCGCAATTGCTTCGGCAAGCCATGGGGCAGGCAGTAGCCACCAAATCTTTGATCGAACTTTTGGGGTGGTGACACTTGAAATTTCTGGAGTTTCCCTGGTGAATCTCCCCATTGGCGTTTTTGAAAGCCAAATGCATCGCAGCCTGCAGCCACAATTGGGATCAATTTTTTGGGTGCAGGAATCCCTCCACCTTTCAGGCAGAATATAGCAAAGCTCAGAGGATTCATGGCAAGGACAGGGTCCCAATGGCCGATCGAAATTGGTGGAATTTCGGCATGGATAGATGGATAGATATCCCAAAATGGTCCGTGTTTTTTCATGGGGAAGATGATCACCAATGGTTTGTTTTGGAGTTCCCCAAAGCTTTTCTTTGGACATGCACTTTTTCTTCTGCGTGTTGCGCAGACAATTCACAGAGGAGCTCCTGACCCTTCAGACTCGACGTGAGCAAAACAATCAGACTGATCAGGCCCAGGGCTGCGGAGGACTTAGGAGTTGCTAG